AAGTATGACGATCAATTTTTTATTCATGACTTCATGTATCTTCTTCATGGGTTGTTTGCAATGACTGTAAATAAATGATTTGTCAGATGAATAATAAATCCAATTATTGTTAGTGTCTATTTTCTTAGTTTCTACCTTAATCTGGTATAAATCTTCCGCTGTAGATCTTTGGGATTCCATGGGTTTATATTTGGGAGTATATGTCTCACTACTAATTCTAGGTTGTATAATAGATATAACTCCTTTTATTTTTGGATAAGTTTGATATATATTTTAATATATAAATTTTAGTGTTTTACTATCAGTTGGAAAATATCAACAACTTGGTGATTCTTTGAAAAAATTTCATGATTTAGATACATCATTCTAATTAATCCACATTTATATAATTCTGACACTAATTTTGAGTCAGTATTTCTGTAAATGCAAATAATTTAATATTTTCCAACAGTATGAAAATAAATTTGCGGATTAATTTTTTCTTCGTATAATGATAACTGTTGTCATTCATTAGAAGTATCTAGAATTTTCTTCGTGGTATCTTGCAATGTTTTTGCATAAGTTTGTATATTTTTTGAGGATGAAGTCTTTTTTGTGATAGTTATCTCGAATACTTTATATTTTATATAAGTACTTTCTTTGGCTTCTTTTACTTATGCGGAGATTAGCAAAATCTCTATTTTTTTTTTTAATTCTGAGGGTAAAGGTAGATCTCCTTCTGATTCTTCGCATGTAAGATAATTCTTTAATTTTCTTAACTCTTTTAGAATATTGCTGGCAAGAGCTATTTCAAATTTTATTTTCTAAATTTGTAAGTCAATGATTTCTAAATAAATATTTAGCTTCAAACTAAGTTTCTTTTTAGCTTCGCTTGATATTTCACAAGTTTTCATACTTTCTATATTTATTTCTTGGATAGTTCACGAGATAAAATATCAGCTAAAGCATTTTTATTTTCTTTTATATATTCTAAATCAAAAGTATAAGCTAAAAACCAGCTTTGTCATCTAATAAGCCTCTTATTGGGTAAAAAATTTACAATTTTTCTTTTTATAAAAGAATTTACAATTTTGTTCTCTGTTTTTATTAAAAATGTTTCATTAAGAAATATTTTAAATTTTTTAATTGTATTTTTTATGGGGTGCACTTTTAAAAGCTAAAAGGAATGATAATGAACTCTTATGCCGGCATAGTTCAGGAACTTATACCGTTATAAAACAGAATTATAACATTAATGAGAAAGAATTGTTGGTCATAAAAAAAGAAATTAAAAAGTTTGAAATATTCCTTAATAAAACATTTTTAATAAGAACAGATAACAAAACTGAAATTTCTTTATAAAAGGAAAAATTATAGATTCTTTACAAAATAAGAGACTTATTAGATGACAAAGCCGGTTTTCAGCTTATACTTTTGATTTAGAATATATATATAAGGAAATAAAAATGCTTTAGTTGACATTTTATCTCGTGAATTATGTAGGAAATAAACATGAACATAGAAAGTATGAAAATTTGTGAAATATTCAGCGACGCAGAAGAGAAACTTAGTTTGGAGCTAAATACTTATTTAGAAACCGTTGACTTACAAATTTGGAAAATAGAATGTGAAATAGCTCTTGCCAGCAATGTTCTGAAAGAGTTAAGAAAATTAAAGAATTATCTGATAGACGAAGAATCATCAGGAGAGCTACCTTCACTCTTAGAATTAAAGAAAATTAGAGATTTTGCTAATCTCCGCATAAGTAAAGAAGTCAAAGAAAATAATTCGGTAAAAAATAAAGTGTTTGAGATTACTATCAAAGAAGAGGCTTCATCGTCAAAAAAATATACCAACTTATGTAAGAATATTGCAAGATACTGCGAAGAAAATTACAGACTTCTGATGAATGACAGTATTTATCATTATACGAAGAAAGAATTAATCCACAAATTTATTTTAATACCGCCGGAAAATATCAAGTTGTTTATATTTACGAAAATACTGATTCAGAATTAGTGTCAGAATTATATAAATGTGGATTAATTCGAATGATGTATCTAGAAGATAAAAATTTTCTCAAGGAATTACCAAAGTCTATAATTGAAGTTGTTGATACTTTCCATCAGATGGTAAAACACGGGAATTTATATATTAAAATATATCAAACTTCTCTAAAAATAAAAGGAGTTATATCTCTTATACAACTTGAAATTAGTAGTGAGCCCTATACTCTTAATTATAAACCCATGGAATTATTGTCTCAAAGATCTACAATAGAAGATTTATATTAGATTTTGGTAGAAATTAAGAAAATAAATACTACCACTATTTTATTATTCATCTGACAAATTATTTATTTACAACCATTGGAAGCAACCCACGAAGAAGATACATGAAGTCATGTATAAGAAATGTATTGTCACACTTAGTTGAAATAATGTTGTTGTAAGAAAAGAAGTAAAAGAGATATTTTGTCAAAAATTGTAGAAAGAAAGAATACATCGATGCATGTATTGTCAGAAGAAATAGACAACGCAAGAAATACAACTAAACTTGAAGAAAAAATCATTGACAGATGTAAACATACCAAATAGTGTTGAAGAATATTCCCAAATTTTTCTCCACTACCGACAGAAGGAGCATGTCTCCAACTCAAAAGAAAGGCGAATTATTATCAAAAAAGATTATTCTAAGAATTATTCTTACAAAACCAGATTCTCTTATCTAATAGACATATTCTGAGAATTATTCGAAGTCCACTTAACCAACCAGCTTGGAAAGATGCAACAATTGTTTTGTTTAACGTCAGCAGTGACGATTAATGTACCATTTTTTCATCTATTTAAGACTCCCTTCTCTTCTAAGAGATAGAGACTGTTAAGATATCTACTTCTTCTTCTTTTCTGTTCTAGCTATGTGTGACTGCCTTTATGACTAATTATCTTCTTTTTGCTTCGATGTATGTAAGTTTTTTATGAATAATATAATGTATTTTTGCTATGATCTTATTATTTGGATGTGTTAATGTTATTTTTTTTCTTCTTCTAGTTACGCATAGTATAAGAAATGAACTAATGTCATGCTCTGCGTTTTTAAAGTAATCGTATAGGGTTGTGATATGAAGGATCTAAATGATTTTGTTGATTCTTTATCTTCTATAGAAATCCATATGGAAGAGTATGACTTGAACCGAAAACGTTAGGGTCAAACCCTAGAGGAAAAGAAACCTCATAATATAATGTTAAGATAAACTTTTAATAGGAAGCGTGTTGGATCCTATATTATTCATAGTAGACGAAAGACGGAGAAGCAAGAGAAATTCATTAAAAAATGGAAGGAGAAATGAAAAAAGATTTTGAAAAATTCGAAATAGGATTAAGGAAGTTTAAGAAAAATATAAGAAAAGATATTAGAGAAATTGAAGAATTACAATATAGATGGAAAAATAATTTGAATTACAATATAGATGTTACAATATAGATGGAAAAATAATTTATTCTTAGAAGATTGCCCTGAAGGAAAATCTCAAAAAATATCTGAAACATCAGCTTCTTCGAAGGCATACAAAATGGTATTAGAGCCAAACGAACTACAAAACAATACATACGAATGTCTTAAACATTCTAATTGTCTCTGTACACTTAACTGGTCTTACGAATCTTTTATTAGTTTCAATATATTGGGTTAAGGCTTATCTCTGATGTAATCCAACTAAAATAGGAAAATATTTCGTCAATCTTCCTTGTGTTTGAACATAATTAATAACTTTAGTATACATATCTTTAATAACTTGAATATAAGTAATATCAATACATTTCTTTTCTAGAACTTTCCAAAATACTTTTTGTTGGAAGTTTATTATAGTTTTTTTTAAAATCTTCAAAATCCATAAGTAGATTATCTTTACTTTCTATGCATTTCTGCATCAAATCTCTCAATAAATGCATAGCTTCTATAATAGACTCGCCCAACATGAATCCAAGATGGTTTTGAGAATTTTTTTTATCACATCTTATCTTATGTTCAATTAATTTCTCTCATAATTCTAATGTATGAAACATTAACTTTTTTATCTATAATTTATACACTCTTGTGCATCTTCTTTATTCTTAAACATAGAAATATATACATTTTTTCTCCACTCATTAGACATCTTTAAAGTTTTTAAAAAAATTATTAAGCCAATAAATTTTCATTTCCTTAAAACATTTCCACATTTTTACTAGAATACTGTTAGATCTTACTATCTTTTCACACTTCATTTTTTAAAGTCGTCTCAGACGATAAAAAAATATAATTAATTACAATATTAAGATCATTAATGTTGATCATATTTTCACAATTTTTATTTTAAAAGTTAACAAAATATTTCACCCATCTAGGTTGAATATCCTCATCTAAGAAAATTATTTACTGATTTTATCCTTAATATATTTAACTTGAACTAAATCTTTTTTTTTTCCTTATCTTTTTGTACATATATATTTCACTCTCTTAAATACCTGATATGTTTTAAATGTCATTAAAAATAGAATTCTTAGCATCACAATTTTTTTTGTGAGATTCCCTACGGGCTATCTGTTATATTTCTCATTTCTCTAAGTTTTTACATTTAAATCAATTTTATAACATAAATTCTAGTTCTTATTTCTTTTGCACATTATAATTCCACCCTCAGATATTTTTTTTTTAATAAGAATTTTTTCTTTTGATTCCCTAAACTCATCTTTTATAGTTTGTTTAATAGTACTCATTATTTTTTCACATATATTCTTAGCTTCTTCATGAGCATCCCAAATTTAGGACCTTGAAATTTACTCGCAAAAAACAGTTTTATTTGTATTTTTTAAGTGCCCACATTTAATTTTTTTTTTTAGAATAGAGAAGAAAACAAATTTTCATTGCTTAAATAACTTCTGTGAAGTCACTGAGGGCATACTGAAATAGCCCCAGAAGATTAAAACTAAAAGAAAATTCAAGTTCTATCTCATCTTAATTAATAACATAAAAAAAGGGTGCTAACAGTTAAAGATTTACAAATCTATCACACGAGAAAGTTTTTGTATACGGTTCAATAAGAAATCCCCCTGCTTGATAGTTGCCTGATAAAGAGCATTCTTGGCATCTGGTCTGTTGGTCTCCAGAACTCCCGCAACCTTGTCAATCTTACAGTGAAGCTGCCCAGCTGCTATCAAGCGTGATAATTCCAGATCAATGAAGTCTACAGAAACCCCAAATGCCGATGCCATTGCTTCCATTGTTACACTCTTATAGGATTCGAGAAACTGAGAATACACAACGGTTCGGACTTCTCTCATGTAATACCTAAAATGAGGTTGGAGATAGCGATCTAGCTTTATCTGCTCAGTCAAGCCGGAGAAAGCAATAAAGAATGACTTGTACTGGCATTCATGGAGGGATTTCAGGAAGTCGGATAGATGAGGAATCTTCCCAATCACTGAAGGATTTCAGGTGCATCCACAACCTTTTCTTTGAGTGATACTCTGTCGAGTGATATAATGCTTGTAAGAACAGTATAGAATATGAAAGTGTCATAAGGAAACAGCTCATAAGTTGTAAATGTCGATATAGAGTCCAAAAATAAATTGGCTGCTCTTTTAAAATTCCTGGTGGCCATACAGTACAGGCCATCATATACTTTCAAACGATTTTTTCTCTCCCAGTCACCACCCTCAAATAAATTCTTAGCTTTGTCAAGTGAGCGAGAAATTAGATCGAAGTCCATGTGGAAAAAAACAATCTGAAAAGTGTAGAATACCAAATCCATCTTCTGGCCAACTGCAACCGTTTTGCTTTCTGTTACTTTTAGTTGTTCGAGTGCTTTCTCCTTATCGCCAATTCGAATGAAGTACAATGACTTCGCAAGGTGAGCTTCACGAACTTCACTTTCACCAAGATTTTCCTCAGCATCGGCAATCTTGTCGTCCAGCTTCTTGATCTCGTCTTTGATCCTCTTACGCATGGAATCAAGTAAGTGCCCACATTTAATTCTATGATAATATATCATTGTATTTTTTTCTTCCAGCTCTTCATCTTAAATTTTGAAAACTAATTATTGAGTTGGGTACATTAAATTTACCTGGAACGACCTTAAAGTTTTTATCTTGACGATCTATTTTTCTTAAAAGAAAATAATCAATTTGTGTTTTATTAGATTTATTATTATAAGTGATAATATATTCATCTCTTTTATTAAATAAAGTATTAGCAATAATAAATTTATAAGCTAAAACATAACTAATTGAATCTATCTTCTTCACTTGTTACTTCAAAGCCATGACTATCATGAATTCTTCTAAATATTTCTTTCACTTTACCGACATGTCTATTTAATAAAAATTATTTCTTCCAGAGGTATCATTTGTATTAATTTTTTTAAGTTCCAAATTTTTTCTTTCATTTATATATCCAAATCTACTTGGAGAGCATAAACACTTATAATATTAAGAATCTTAATATGAATAACAATCCTAGGGTTATACTTCTATCTCCAATTCTATTATCTTATACAATATTTTCTTTCAGATTATTATCTATAATGACACTTACACCATTGGACTCATACCCGAATATCAAATTTTAAAACATAGGCCATCAATCTCAGTTTTTTCTCCAACTCATTTAGTTTATTGAATGCATAAGATATCTATATTATCAACAAAAATAATATTTATTAATTCTATTAATTTATCTATTTGAGAACTATATGCCATGTTTCTATTTTAATACTAGTCTAATGTATTAACATTTTTACTCGCATGTGTTCATAATGTGGAAATTTTTGCTTATTTAACACCACACCCAAGTGTTGGTACATTGTCCCTTTCATACTTTTCAATATATTCATGTGAGGCAGTGCGCTTCCAGGTGATGTCATAACATTTACACAATGATTTATTGGATTCATGTCATAATTTTTCGACAAAATTTTACTGCTGATTGTTGACTACCTTTTGTATGCAGCAATGCCAGTGCTACAATTTCAACTGCTCTCATTCTTTTAGGTTTATTATTTATTGTCATCCTCATCATGCAATCGTAATGATTTTTGAACCTTTGTTGAAAGGCTTGTTAAACGATGCATTTAGACTGCTGTCATTATACTCACAAGGAATAAACTGACATTGATTTCATAAAGTTTTCCCCCTTTAGCATATCCGCATAGTCTGTGTTTTAACTTTTTTTAGTGCTGAATTAATTATAAGTCATCGTTCTAAATACATTTTGAGCAACATATATATAATTAGTGGGTTCCATCCCTTACCACGTGCATCTAGCTTAGAATTTCTTTTACTTTATTGTGGGTTTCCTTAAACTGTCCTTTTGGGTCACTGTTATTTGATAAGCTCTTTTTGCTATTAACATGTGGACTTGCATACTCTGAATGTTATTTTTGCATTTTTCTGCTTTGCTGTGCTATTTCTAGTACTGCGCAGTTCAGAAATTTTGGATTGCTCTTTATTGATGATTTGTTAATAGATTTTGTTAACTTCTGACCATAAATTGGTTACTTCTCTCCCAGGTGTACAATGGGATGATGGTGCGCTCTGTCAAAATCTTTTTAAAAAATGTGAAGCGCTTGCTGTAACTGGTTTGACAGAATATGGAGATGAAATAGATGTTGTTGCTCCAACAGACATTTTGAAACAGATTTTTAAGATACCTTACTCCAAAGCCCAACTATCTGTTGCTGTTCAGCGGATTGGAGATACTCTCATTCTAAATGCAGGGTATGCTTTTTAAAATGAATTAATAAAACGTGATTGTTTATAGGTTTCTAACTTTTTTATTTTCTTTAGTACTATTATTATTATTATTATTATTGTTATTTTTTGACAAATGAAGCCCCATTGTTGAAGAAGAAGAAAAGCTTTTCAGAAGACAAAACAACCAATCTAAATGTTCCAATCCATCAATATTTTTGAATTTCGCAATGCACTCTGTAAGAGCAGAGGCTTGTGATTGCCCTCCTGCTCACCAACCTTTTTCACAGAAAAAACCAACCTCCCCCAGCTTGCCGGTAAACTTTGGAGTTACTGGGGATTCATATATGTCTTCCACATCCGGTAACACTAAGTCTCATATTCTGGATCACAAGAATCCCAATGAAGGTAAAAAGCCTTCCCTATCCAATAATGATAATTACTTTTGGGACAACAAGATGAATAAGCAGAAAATTAGGTCAGATTCTTTCAAAAGAACTCAAATTGGCGAAAAGCCTAGAGGTCCAATACAAGATTCCGAACAACACAGGAGACCTGGTAACAATGCCTTCCTGAGGGTTCTATTTTGGCAATTTCACAATTTTCGAATGCTTTTGGGCAGTGATATGCTTCTATTTAGCAATGATAAATATTTAGCAGTAAGCTTGCACCTGTGGGATGTAACAAGACAGGTAAGTCATACTAATCCGGAATGGTACATTTAATTTCATGAGTTACATCTTTCATCTATTTTTCAATCTGACAGGTCACACCATTAACTTGGCTTGAAGCTTGGCTAGACAACATTATGGCAAATGTGCCTGAATTGGCCATCTGTTACCACCAAAATGGTGTTGTTCAAGGTTATGAACTTCTGAAAACAGATGATATTTTTCTACTTAAAGGTGTATCTGAGGATGGAGTTCCTGCTTTCCACCCACAAGTTGTCCAGCAGAATGGTCTTTCAGTGTTGAGATTTCTCCAGGAAAACTGCAAACAAGATCCTGGTGCATATTGGGTATGGATTTCTGTTTTATCTTCTATAGCTATCATGTTGAATGTTCAGCACATTTTTATCTGCGTAGTTGTGTATCCTTTTAATATCTTATTGTTATTTAACTTTTGTTTATTTGTCCCTTCTTTTATTCTTTCAGCTCTACAAAGGTTCTGGAGAGGATGTAATACAACTCTTTGATCTTTCTGTCCTACCTAAGAATCATCCAGATGATGCTCATGATAAGGCCCCCAGTTCTCTATCATCCCTAATGCAGAAAGGAAGAAGAGATACCATGTTCTCTCTAGGGATTCTTCTTTACCGTATCGCTCATAGGCTGTCATTCTCAAAGGTTCTCTAAAACCAATCACTTTCTTGTTTTATTAGATGCCTTGTCCTCTGATTGCTTTATACTTCATGCAGGCACCAAGTAATCATACAAAGTGTGCAAAGTTCTTCAAAAAATGTTTGGATTTTCTTTGTGAGCAGGACCATATGGTATTTCTATGATTCTGCATTGATGCACCTGAACTCTTGCTTGCTGTGTTTTTGGTGAAGTTTTAATTTTAATTTTATGCTAGGTGGTCCGTGCATATGCACACGAGCAATTTGCTCGACTCATCTTGAAATGCTATGAGGGATTGGAGATAACATCGGAAAATTTTCGTGTCGATTCTGAGGTTAGAGTGAATACCTTGGAAGAAGAATGTTCAGCATTTCCTTTCTCAATGTTTGGTTCACCTGGACAATGCACAGGCCTTTCCGAAGATGATACAGCAGCCAAAGATAGAAATACCGTTACAGGAGCATCAATAGATGCATCTCTCATGCTAAACATAGAAGAAGAAAATTCAAAAAATTCTGAAAATGTTTTCGTGTATCAAGCACCAGTAGCAAGAGGATTTTCAAATACTATAGCTAGTCCTCAAACAAATGATTCCTTAGACATATGCCAGATATCCACGTCTCCCAATCTACCTAAAATAGTTGCTGATCCAATCTCTTCCAAATTGGCGGCTATACAACATGTCTCTCAAGCAATTAAATCTCTTCGGTTGAAAAGACAATTGCAAAATGCTCAAGGAGATTTTACTGACCCTGGAAACAGATTGAATGACAGACCAACAACAGTCAACCTATCTCTTTGTGTTTGTGGTGATGTTAATTGTATTGAAATCTGTGATATTAGGGAATGGCTTCCAAAAGCTAAATTGGACCAGAAGATGTGGAATCTTGTTTTGCTACTAGGAGAGTCATATCTGGCTCTTGGGGATGCTTACAAGATGGATGGGCAATTGCATCGAGCTCTTAAGGTTGTTGAGTTGGCTTGTTTAGTTTATGGATCAATGCCACAGCATCTGGATGATGCTCGATTTATCTCATCTATGGACAGTGGAGAATCATATCAGCTTAAGTTGAAAGAAAGTGATGGTATCCCAATTTTCTTAAGAGATGCTCAGGAAGGCCTGAATTTCAAGCTGTTTAAGGAAGGTTATCTATCCGAGCATTTATCTCCTGCCTATTTATTTTGGCCTAAGGCCTGGTCTCTTGTTGGGGATGTATATGTAGATTATCAAAGAACAAAAGGTAAAGAAGTGAGGGAAGGAGAAGATGACAGGACATCAGGCAGTGAGCTTCTGGTGTCAAATGAAGTTGCGAAGGAGGTTATGCGCCTTAAAAAGAAGCTAGGACAGTACATGAAAAACTGCAGTTCCTGCTTATTGATAAACTGTAGCTGTCAAAACGATAGAGCAAGCAGTGGCAACAGTGCAAGTAGTAGTGGCAATGTTCTTCCAGCATACAGCAGAAAGCAAAATAGAAAATCAACCTTTAGGGCTTCTTTTGCACACTGTGGAAACATTAATGATACCAGCAGTTCCTGCAGATCAGACTATTTTAGTGTTTCTGAAAATGAGCATTGCAAAAATAACAGTGACATAGATAAGCATGTGGTTTCAGCAAAACCCTCTAATGCATCTTCAACTGTCTTGGGCATCGCAGACACTGAGAATACCTTAGATAGGACACCTTCTAAGCAAACAGTTTTTACTCCATTAAGTATCACAGGTGCATCTAAAGTTGGAAATGGAGGTATTTTTAGGTTTCTTCAAGGTCCTGAACGAGATAGTGTCGAGTACAATTTTTCAACTGCTATATACTGTTATAATGCAGCATGGAAAGCAATGAAAGGATTTCATCTTTGTTCAGCAGAATTGACTTCTGTACTAAAGAAGAAAGGATGGGTTTCTAATGAACTAGGTCGCTTTAGACTTGATAAAAAGGACTTGGCTTCTGCTGAAATTGCATTTGCTGAGGCTATTCAGGCATTCAAAGAGGTTTCTGACCATACCAATATTATACTTATATATTGTAATCTTGGTCATGGGAGAAGATCATTGGCTGAAGAACTGGTATCCAAGTTAGATGAGCTTGCTAAATATGATGTCTTTCAAAATGCATATAAAAAGGTCATTACGAGTGCAAAATTGGAATATGATAAATCACTTAAACATTATGGCGCTGCGAAAATGGAACTTGATTCAGTTAGTGGAACTTGTGCTACTTCGTTATATAATGAAGTGCATACACAGTTTGCTCACACTTATTTGAGACTTGGAATGCTTTTGGCAAAAGAGGGCATTTCAGATAAGGTTCATTCAGGTACTAATAAAGACTATTCTGTTAATCTAAGCACGGTAGATCAACAAAAAAAGATAACTTCAGCAAGTGATGCTTTTTGGGAGGCACTTTCCTTGTATAAATCTCTCGGTATGCTTCGGAAACAGGAAGCTGCTTTTGCGCACTTTCAACTGGCCAACTTTCATCGAGACAATTGCTTGAAACTTGTAGATTTGGAACAAAAACAGTTTAACTTTGCTAAAGGAGAGAACAGGCATCTAAAGGCCAAGTGGTATTCTTCTTTAGCTGATAAGCACTGGAAGAAGGCTTTAGACTTCTATGGCCCTATGACACATCCTGCCATGTACCTTAACATTCTCTTGGAGCAAGCAGCACTTTCTATAGACCTCTCATACACGTTTCATTCAAATGCGGTATGTTTCAATCAACTGCTAATGGTTTGTAGTTTTATGGTTGCTAATCCTATTGTATTTTGCATGTAGTTACTATACACTAACTTTTTCTGATTGGTATCTCGTGTGTTGCAATTACTTATATTTGTTCTTTGGCAGTATGAGCCCTGTTTCTTATATTTTTCTTCATTATTATAATTATCTTTTAAGTGAAGGTCAGTTGGATGCTCTAACAGCTACCCATTTTTAATATTGAACTCGAGAAGATGCATTCTCTCCCAGGCTCTCAGTTTTCCTTAGTGGATACACCACCAAATCTATCCCAAATGACACAACCTCTTCCCACTACCATTCCTTCAGGCCGTACCATGACCACTCTCTACAAAACAAACCATCTGAAGCTCAAACATATCCTCAGCCTAGCCCACATTGCGGTAACACTTGAGACCACCTACTATTCATCTGCCATCAAGCATCCTTAGTTGCATCAAGCTATGTCACTGGAGTTTCAGGCATTCATGCAACAATGCACGTGGGTGCTAGTACTTCCTACCTCGACTCAGAATTAATAGGGCACAAATGAACATTTTTGACCAAATACAATTTGGAGGGCTAGGTAGCTTGCTACAAGTGATGTTGGTTGGCTACCTTTTGAATGAGGTTGAAGAAGTGAAAGGCTTTGGATATTTATTTTACTGTTTAGGAAGTATATTAGAGTTTATTGAGTTTATAGTTGAGTGATGTGGGCAGGAATATAGTAGTAGAAAGTAAAAAATTAGTCTAGACTAGATTAATTTGGGGTTGATTTGGATGATTAATCTAGACTATAGCAAGATATTGGCCATCCTTAAGAATTTATTAATTACCACAAAATTATATATTGTCTTTGAACTGTATGGGATATTCCTAAGACAAAATTTATTAAGCGATCTTCCCAAAACCTATTGAGAATGGGCAACTCAACATATTAATTATATTATTTTGGTGGGTTTTGTATGCTTAATTGTTAGACATTGGGACATTAAATTTTGAATATCTCATTTAAGTGAAAGACAATAAAATTGATTTTTTTTTTTAAATTAAATATTTTTATTTCTTAAAAAGTCCAACTTTCCCTCTAACATGCAATTTAGAGTTAAAAATTTTTATAAATTTTGGTTTTGGAATATAAAGTTTTTTTTCTTTTATAAAGACACCAATTAATAGCCGAAAATATTTATTATAGGGTTTAAGAGTTATCTCATTTATAGATATAAATCAGATGAAAGTCTTCATGTAAGATACTTCTCTTAGTCTTTTTAGAAAGAAACAAATTCTATTCTTTGATCCTTTCAAATTATAAAATAGAACTTATGGTTAAAGTTATGATAGATAAGGCATCAATAGATTTATTTTTAACTCCATATTTTTGTTTGAGAATCAAAGATTAATTATAGATAAATTATAACCTATTTAGCATGTTTATAACTTAACGTTATTTAAGCATTAATAAATTTGAGGGCATGATGGATCCAATAGGGATGAGCTTTATATATAAAGGATAGTCAAGTTAGTGTTCCAAAGTTTAGTTGACTTTGAAATTATGTCATATGTGGAGTTCATTATTTGGCCTCATTTAATTTCCTCTTAAAAAAGAGCTATTGGGTGATTTTCATGATTTTAGATTCTTCAACTTATAATTATAGAAATTTTACAAGTTACATTAAAATATTAATAAAAATAGGGAGTCTAAATATAGTTGCAAATGTAATTAAAATTTTAATTTAATCAAGACTTTATTTGCTAGACTGGCCTAGGAAATTTTTTTTTTTAAAATATCAATGATAAGGACAATAATTGCAATAATGCCTTTAATGAGTCTCTTATAAAAGAAATAGCTACACCGTGAAAATTATGTGCTTCAGTCAAATTCTTGGGTGTAAACTATTATAAGATTACTTGAATTTTGGAAAAAAACTGGTTTGATTCCACTAGAGAAAATTATGAATTTAAAAAATCACTTTGGTTTGTAGAAAATGTTACTTCTTGAATTTGACGGAAAGCTATTATTTTCCGAGGATTTGAAAAACTTGTTTAAGGTGTCTCAGATGATCGATCTTGCCTAATTTAAATTTGAGATATTGTCAAAGTAGACAACCAACAAATTTTCTATAATAGGATTAAGGATAGTGTTCGTGAGCGTCAAAAATATATCCGGGATATTTGAGGGATTAATGGGTAAATACCAACTGCTCGTAGAATCCATCTGGAGCTTAAAAATAATTTTTCTCTTGTCTCTTAATCAAATCTTAATATAGATATACTGATTTTTTTAAATCAATTCGCAAAAGAAGTAGGCCTGCAAGTCTAAATCTAACATATTATTCAACTGATAAATGTGAAATTTATAACTAATGACTAGTACTATATTTTGTGGGGGGTTAACAGGACTAAAATTGCGCAAAGACTAAGAAGCTGTTTGTTTTACTAAAAAGAAGAATGCAATATAAAAGAAATATATTGTTATTGAAATGTAGCGTATTTAAAATACTTTGAATTTGTTTGGTTTGGTATAAAATAAGTACAATAAGTTTTATATTTGTGTTTGATTTGAAAAAAAATGAAATCAATGCAAAATGTGCTCAACAATAGTGGCAATAGCAATTGGTAATTTCAAAGCCTATGACGATGGTGTGGTGGCAGCAGATGGCCAGCAGGTGATGGTGGCAGTGGCAATAAACTGCAATTTAGTGTATTTAAAAACTGTTCAAATCTAATGAATTTGAAATGCACTTGTTTTGAACTGTAGTATGAATTCCAAATTTACCAAAATTTTACACTGCATTCCATTTTCATCCAACCAAATGCCATAATAATTTTGGAAAACCCATGCATTTGGTTTATTTTGCAGTACTAATGCAAGGAACCAAAGAACCCCTTAGACTTTTTTGGATGAAACTTTTCCTAAATTCTCAATTTGTCTCTTTAATTAGTATGCTTAGTAGGATTTATCTTATAATGGTAAAAATTGTGAAGTTATGAATCTAGGACTAGATAAATAACTCGTTAAATAGATCTAAGAGAAGATAACTTATCTTGTTTCATCAGATGCACCATCACTATAGATAGACATTAGGTGAGAACACAATAAATATGTGAATCTCATCAGACTCAAGTGTTACTCATTTCACATGCAGTAATTGTAAGAAGGATATATCAGAAATTTTTTTAAGAAGTTCCAAATTTAAAAGCTTCTATTATTGAATTTGTTGAACTACACAAGCTTGAGATATTCAAATTAAAGTTAGAATTGATAAAGCCACCCCTAATCTAGGATTTTTTATAATTATCGATTGAAGCTTAGCATCTTTCTTTCAGAGTGGATTTGTGTTATAGATTAGAGTTGATTTAATATAGTGCTTTGGTAAATGCCTTCTTTATATGCTTTATCAAAAAAGAGTTTAATGGTCATATTATTATGTTTGAAAATACAATTTTTTTCCATATCATAGTCTATCGTTTTTTAAATCTTAGTCATGATCGTCCTTACAAAAATGATCCCTGGAGAGAGCAACAACAACAACAACAACAACAACAAAGCCTTAATCTCACTACGTGGGGTCGGCTACATGAATCCCTGGAGAGAGCATCACCTAAAATTTAATTTTCATACCTATCAATCTTTATGTGAACTCGACACGTAAGTGTGATGGATAGAGAATATAATTGACCCAACTAACATGAAAGAGTTTTGGATGTGATTCGGCCTTCATATTGATTTTAGTATTGGTGTCACTTGAGATAACATTTACTGTACTGTCTTTATTTATAACTAACTTACACTTATTAACATACAAACTACAAATCTTTTTTCTTCTCTAATCATTCATTTAATTTTTTTTGTTATGGTTAAATATCTCATTGAATTGATTGGTGTATTATTTATGGATTCTGCATATTATCAGAAAGAGATGTCTTCATAAATTTAACCACCCACAACAGCATCATTGTGATTCTCAATCTGTTCTAAGAAAATAATCTGGGCTTTATAATGGTTTTGCTTATGAACATTTTTGTGGTATTTGAAATAAATTTATTATTTATTGTTTGGGAATTCAGATTAGTAGGAGATATGGAAAAATGAGTTGGTCTAGTAGTAGGCTTAATAATAAATGTTTGGGATAAAGTGATGGAGGTTTGTCTTTTTTATTTTTGAAAGACAAACAATTTTTTTATTTTCAATAAACAAAGAATAATGGAAGGTTTTTTTTTTTTTTTTGGTTTGCAGATCAATAACTTGGTTTCACTCTTATTATCTACTTTAAATCTAATGACAAGTTTACTATTCATTTACTGATCATTGTTAAAACAATCTATCCTACTAATTAAATCTTCAAAGTTGTTTTGATTATTTATTTATAAGAAGATTAGCTTGCCTTAAAGTCAATGACTAATAAATAATACATTTTTCTTTCATGATTCCTGGGACATTATTTGATTCTTAGCATCTCATTTATTTCAATTTTGATAAGAATGATCATTTCTAATGTTCTTTCTTTAGCTAAGGTAATTTTAAAAAATCACAGCATGTCCAATCAATTTTAATTTGGCAAATGCAACTATTCAGTAGTTTTCCATCCTATTTTCTTAAAATGAATCATTCATTTGGAATCCAAGAACATATTGGAGTCATGCAGGTCATTGTAGGAGGAAGTTTCAACTTAACTATTCTTAAGAGATCATTAAAGTCGTTGGTATTCTTTTACAGATGATCTGTTATATCTTCATTTTTTAGAGTTCGGTGGTCTTCGATGGAGGTGGTCTTCATTCTAAGGAAGAATCATGGTCTTTTAATAGTGTATCATAATTTTTGGCAGAAGGTAGAGTGTGGTCTCTATAATTTTGAAGATGATTTATGATAGGTTGCATTCAAATCTTTAACTTCTTGCATATGGATTTTATTTTTTAAAATTGTTAAGTCTTAGTATCATTTTCATGAACTAACGAGTCAATTATTCTTATTAGGTTTTTAATCAAAATTG